TATCTACAAATTCACATTAAACACAATCTTTAGATATTGAATTTACTTGATCGTACTATTTCACTCGATCAACGGTACCAAACGGGATACCCCCTCCAGCAACCTCATCTTTCTACGTATCATGCTTCTGCTAGACGACGCTGCCGTCTCACTTTCCTAGAAGTTTGTTCGGCCATTTACCCTAAATGGCACCACAGCATATATAGCAGATGAATAGTCTATTGTGTATATCAGAATCTTTTTCTTGGACAGACTCTCGCACTTCAGATAGTGTCAGGACTTGACCAAGCACATCCACTTATTGCGACTCAGAAAGATCGTGTCTTATAGAGTACACGCTTGTCTTGTCATAGTTGTTGATGTCTTTTCCTGTTTGTGTAGTACTGTGTTTTTATCTGGCGAATAGTCTGAACACTCTCAAATAAGCTTTATAAAAGCTTGAAATCAGTAATGTTCAGCCCGTCATCACAAATATGAATCGGTCAAATTTGCAACCTATTCTGAGTACACGGGACCAGCGAGAACTCTTCATTTTGTGACGTGCTGTTGTCGCTGAATGGAGAGCGCTATTTTATGGAAAGATTGCGGTTTGGGCATAATGCACATTTTCACGATATCGCGAATGGGCAATGCCGAGATAAAGCCAGTCCCACACCCAGATGCGATACAGAAAAATCGTTTTTGGAGCTATTGTACGCTGAAATATTAGTAACTCATTTTCGGTACTTCCTCGCGTTCTCATCATTTGATCCAACCCGTGATGCAAATCCGGAAAAAGATCAATGTGCAAATAATCAATATCTCTGGCCAGTCGATTAGTGAGTATCAAGATGCATGTTCTTAGGAAAGTGTCTATTGAAGTTTCAAACGAGAGAGGTGTGTAAATCTCGTCAATACATTGTGCCACACATTTACGCTATATAACCGTATTGGCGGGCAGACTAATAGTATTGTTGGCATTTTTAAGTGGCTATATGCTTAACAGGAAAATAGCCAACTTCTGTATCATGAGGTGCCCTCACAAATGAGAGTCCTTGATGCTCGTATCTTTAATCCCGGCATTGCTGCCGTGTCTGAACACAGGTAGTAGCTAGCAGAAGTCACCGCAAGACACTGATGTTCCATTGAAGGATCTGTCAGCGCTACGTATGCTACAAAGGGATTGGTCAAAGGCCTCCAGGACTTCGCTTCTTTGATCATGGAGCACTCGCCCAATACTATCCAATGCTATAAGTACTCTTATAAGTTTTTATCAATACTGGGTAGAGTCTTTTTCGCGATCTAAATGGGGATCTTGAAGCAAAACGTAATATAGTCGCCAGGCACCAAGGTTTTAGTTATGCCTGCAAAACCAACTGGAAGCGCCACTTTCTCATAAGCGAACACTTTTTCAAATTAGTGAGAAGGTTTTACTCGTGTTCTTAGTGCAAGGACGAGGATCGTATAACCTAGATTTACCTCTAGACATAAGTGTAGACCGGAGAGTTGTTCGTGCCTGTTAATAGTTTTGTGCTGTTCAGAGAGGCTATATTAAAGTTCTTCGGTAATATCGGCGTTCACGCTGATCTTTGGACGTCGTGGTGGGGAAAGAAGGCCGACGTCGCGTAATGTCTTTTTATACACTGTTAACTTATCTAGTAGGTATGTTAACACTTGATAGTCGTAAGCTTCGAGGATCGGGAGAGTCGTATTACACGTTCACGCGCATACATTACGCAGAAGCTCTAGCATAGTCCACAAGCGAAGCGGGTCGGCTAGTTCGCCCATTATCAAGATAACGACAAGTAGATTTCAAATTGCTGCGTATTGTCGGCCATTTTCTGGTCTTAACGTTTGTTGTTAAAAAGAAGGCTCTTCTATATGCAAGCCTTCCTGAATGTGGCAACATGGCCTGCGTCGGTTGTTTTCAATGCGTCGAACGATATAGATCCACGGACGGGGCAGAGTAGAAGATGCAGAATAAGTCTCACCCGAGCTGTGTAGATGCGGCCGGAAACATCACCTGGTAATAAGTCGGGAAGTGGAGAATTCGGGAAGCGTACTCCTGTTTTGTTTACCTGCTATTTGTCTACTTGTAGAACCTGGGTGCCTTAACGAAATGTTTTAGCGAACCCACCTTGTTCGCATACTGCCATCTGTGCAATGAGCTTTTTGACCTTACCATGAATCTCAGTGCCGTAAGGTGCTCTCAAGATAACACTTGCTGCTTTTTTAACGTGAAGTGAAATGCGGACGAAATCAATCAACAGGAGGGTTACGACTGAGAAGTGGGAAGCTCCGTATTTGTGAGACAGCTTGACAGAACTCAATTTATCGGCCATTACGGTACTGCTCGATCTCATCAACAGTAACAATAGCTCTACTGATACCCTTCAGTGTGTATTTTATATCATCGTCATTTAATCGACTTCATAGACTAGCACATGTTGAAATTAAAGTAGTAGTCAAAGGGTTTTAGGAGGTCGGCGATGTACGGAATTACCCATTACGATGTTATAACATAATTAGCATTGTGCTGGCCCTCTTTGTAGCCGACGAAGGCGTTCATCTCGGAGGAACGACGATAATATGTTAGGCGTTGTTGGCATACAACGCTCAGTCTGCGTTGGGTTTGAGGACCCTGATCGAACACTGACCGTTTATCATGCATGGAGATTTGAATGTGTGAAACGGGCCATGAATCATGTGAAGTTTAGGGTCCTACACTGGATATGCAATTTTCGCTGGCACAAATTTGTCGTACGTTTGTGTCTGGCATCCTATATGCTCATCGAGACAGAGACGAATGTGACCTTGCTGGATAGGCGATGGCATAGCCAAGCTTGGCATGCGTAAGGTTTTTTAATTGGGTTGTATAAACCACGCTACCTTAAATTTAGCAGTTAGGTAGGTAGGACGAACACAGTTGTATGTAATACACGTTAAATACTTCTGTCATGCAACACCATTTTTATAGAAGCACTTGTATACACTGAAAGTACATCAGCTGCTTATACCGTTCAGCGATCTTTCATTTCGTTACACACAACTACTATAACCTTTACGATGTCTTATAGTCTGGCGGAAATAACTATTTGCTCGACTGACACAACATTTTCATTCATTTGACAATCGGTTAAAAACACCTAATAATTAAAGTAATGCTGTACCATTCTGTGTATAATGATATTATTATTATGTGAAGCTGATATATTTAAGCAAAACTGTAACTTAAAGCCACAGATACAGTTTTGTATGTAAGGAAAACGTTCATCTAGTGGATGTACGTTATTGGGAACACAAATCATAGCTCTGAATTATATTTATTGTATTATAGATATAATACTCTATCTTGATGTAGATTGCTGAAGTGGTTAAATATAAAAAACGCACGCGCCTCGGTAACGGTCAAATGCTCACGTTCGTTTGATGTGATTTTTCGAGACTGCAGCAATGAAACGGTTTTATGCTGGTATTGAAACGTAAAAGAACGTGATTTATTACTATTATTAGATAATAATCATTAATAAACTGCAATCGTTGTCTGTCCGTTCATTTTTTCGCCAAAGGTACGTCGAACGTGGCAGTAACCTTTGAACGATAAATATCCAAGCGACGTAGAGTAAAAGCAACCTATCGCGGTAGTGCTATCGCCTTGCGAATGTTCATCTGAAATATGCGCAGCGTCCAGGAGCTTTTCCATCAAAGGAAGCTACTCAAGTACAAGTAGAAGAAGAAGACGGCTTACTACAGTAAAGATTCGTAAACTAGGGATGGTGGCATCTCTTGATTCTTCTCATCTTGGCTCGAATTTCTAGTATTTGCCTTTTTAGCTTAAAAAGCTACTAGCATGAGCTCCATGACGCATTTTCACACCAAGTATATATGGTTTTCTATCTAAAAGCATGAGGGGCAGTCTCCGTTTTTCAGTACCTCATTAGGTGGAGGATGGTGACTGAACAATATGAGAGTGGCCAAGAGAGTTGCTACCTCTTATTGTATTAGCGCCAACGGTACCTCATGAGGACAACAGATACCAAACAGCAGAGTTTAACCACTTTTATAAAGTACTTAAAAAATATTTTTTTTTCAAAGGCATTGTTTTGTGTCGGCAAGAACCTAGAGGACGAGAGAAACTTGGACCCGGAATACACGGCCAGCGTGAGGTTATTCAGACCTTCGCTGAGACGGTTGCTGCTACGTGGAAAGTCAATGAAGAAAGTCAAAAGAATTAAGCACCTTGGTTCCTACGATCGAGGAATATCTATTTACACCATTGAATGGCATGCTCAGCTGAAAACTTCTCAAAAAGATTACATTTGTTTAGGTCGGATATTGCGGGCAGATTTACGTATCGGCTTAACAATTGGTCGCTTGAAATTCTTAACCCGCGTAAGGTGAGCTCAGATTTATTTACTACCTTTTCGAAAATGACTCATTATTTCATTCGAAACGGTTGGAGGCGTGATGAGCAATGTTAACTGATTGGATTAAATCAGTCAGAGGGATATTGTCTTTCTTTTTATACCTTTAAAACATTTTCAGCTTTACCATATAATGTACAAGACGTGTTCAAAACCCACGGCCTTAACATTTGCCGGTCTAACAGGAGATCACCTCATTTACAGAATTTCAACATGGAAACGCCACTGCGAAAAAACAGTGCCGTATGTTACAAGTGAACAATGCGATGTTTTGGTTTGATATACTGTAGTTACAACGATTCTTATCGCTAGCGAGCATCACAGCATTCTGTATTATGTTGACAGGCCTTTTAGGGGCCTTGGATGATTGGAGTGGCTTGCCGCTAAACCCATCTATTTTGGCAATAATCACCCCCTTAAATGCCAAGAGGCGCAATTCGCACAAGCGCTAGTTGCATCATCGTCCGCCACAGGAACGTATCGAAAAGCAAAAGGGGTACACCAGTCAATTACTTTCTTCTTTTAAACATAATCGATCTCAGAGGCACTGTAATTTTTATCTGCCTAAAAATCTAAATAAGAATCATACCACTATAGCGCATCAGAATATGTAAGAAGTTCGAGTTTTTCTCTATTTTGGCATCGAGGCGTAAAAAAGGAAAAAAAATGAGGAAAGGTATGGTAATTAACGAAAAATATCGTTGTAAAGTTAGGGAAAAAATATTTCGCTATCAGGCACCGAGAAAAGTGCAGTAATAAGATGATTGGAAAAATGTTTTAGTTGTAAACGGGGTCTATGTATTAATAGAGCGATAGGGATTTAGGTGAGATAGGTAGCGTCGCTGCAAGGCTGGATGTTAATTTTGCATATATAGATGGAATAGAATTCGTTTGAATTCATGTTTTTCAAAAAGCTTTGTACGATTCGGTCAGTAGAACAATATCTACCTTGTGCGGAATTCAGCCCCTGCGGATGAACCGTATTCCACCGATAACATTACCCGCTAATCTTTTTCTTATACATTACCTCAACAGTTCGACTCTGCAATTAATAGTTTGGCTTCATATTGGCAACTGTCAGGGTGAAGTCAATTATTCCTTTATTTAAGAAGATGGCATGACTTCCACATCTATATTATAAACACGAATAAATCTATTCCAGTTTTTGTTTGGGGATCGATAACGAGCATATATACCAGTAGCATGGATATAATAATTAGCGACGAACAGCGAAAATAACGGGCCCTGCACAACTCAAACTAGTTCTTGTCAGTGTCCTGTTAAATTCAACAGCATTTGGTGGGCGTTCTAGAAAGAAGTCATAGCAACGCTACCTGAAGGAGAATCGATCGCAAGACACGGTTATTAACCTTAGATCACAGTTAGGCAAACTACTACAAGAGCCCAGGGCCTGTGAGAACTACCCCAAATTTTTTTACTACATTTTACTTTCAGTTATAATTCATCCTATGGCGAAACTGTTTAGAACATAACTACCACAGACAGTGCTACTTCAGATGGCGTAGCCAAGGTGATGCTTGTTGCGCATAAAAACATTCTAAACTTATATATACCTTATACCATACGTTTTACCATCAGCATTCCATTTGCCACAGCCATTCGGGCTCTAAAAGGATAGTTCATTTCTTTCAACCTATTACTTATCACTGGGATATATAGGACACTGGAAGGCACAATGTACAAATGTCTCACAAGAATTGTTTGATGACTGCACTGAGATAGCGTTATACAAAACGGCTGAAATGTCCTTTATTAAACCTCACTAAATTTGGTTCTGTAGTATTAGTTACAGATCTGTAACTTAAAAAAGATGGAAGATGGAGAATGAAAGCCCTTGATCGAAGGAAACCAGAGGTCGCTGGTTTAAGTCTATTTATATGAAATTGTAAGGTTATAAAAGAGAGGGAACATGGAAACGTACGGCAGGTTTCTATAGTACACGGAAGTCTACCCAAACGCAATACGTCAAGTCTTAAACAACAAGGCGCATAAATGTATATGCAGACAAACTATAGCCCATATATAATTGTGGACAAGTAATTGAAGAACACATACACAAATCTACATAAGGAGATCAGCCTTAATTCGAGATTTATTCTTTAAGGATTTATAACAAATAGTTTTGCTTTACCCATATAAATATCGTGGCCGACGGCATTAACACAATGTGCACAATCTCTGAACTTTTCGTTGTAAGTATTATAGATAGACAGATCATAAAAAAGATTTTGCAAGCCTAATCAACCGCTCCCTCAGAACTTCCAAGAATCATTTAGATGCCCAATGACATCCAGGTAGAGGTTACGTTATATGAGAACAATTAATACTGATAATTTGTGATATCTGAATCCTGATTTACATATGATAACTACCAAATAACTGTAAAAGACCCAGTAACACTAGTTTCATTAAACACCGTAAAAAATATATAATGACCGTAAATGACTTGAATGAGACGGGGGTAATAACGCTAATACTGTGGTTATTAATGTACAAATATAGGAGGAAGATTGATGAAGTTTGCGTTAAAAGTCTAGTAAAACCTGAAGATGCTTCATAGCAAACCTCTCTTCTGATAGTGAGCACCGTGAGGGAATGCAGTTTATTACAGTATCGATCTTCCAAGTAATCGCTGTATGGAAGTTTACCCAATATCCCGTGTATTAACCGCTGAGACTTCGCTAAATCATTGGTTCACTCAGTGCTTGTACAGTGGAGTGTGGTCACCGATGGGTACGGTATGAGTGACGAGTTACGTTACAGTATTTTCAGCAATCTGTGAACGAAGTCCCGAGCTTCTCTTAACAGCTTCATTACACGTTTATGGTCAGACTAACTTTCGCTGTCACCGATATGGCACACGAGCGGTCACGGGAAAGTAGTACAGATCTCTGAGCTCGGTTTAGCCGTTTCACAAAGACCAACCCACACGGCGGATCAGATCATCCGTATTCATTTGGAGCTCATTGCCAAATTTCCAACAATGACGGGATTCGCCTGCTGGAGATTACCAAATGACCGGCCGGCTGAAAGGTATCACATCTACAATCGGCAAGAACCAGAAATATATTTATTGTAATTTACATAATTTATACGTCCGTTCCATTAGTTGTAATAGATGTTTTTCCGAGCAAAGAGAAATACCCCTGATGAACACTGTTTTTACGAACAAGCAAGACATGCTTTGCGCAGTATGTTCGCGAGCTTTAGCAACACTTAAACCTTGGTATCATCATATGGCTACCTCATAAGCGTCTGATCTTTCTATACATCGTATGTAGACATCATTAAAACCGCTTTGTTCTGTCGAGATTCAAACGGCTAATTGAAGCGGTTCGATAACATCTGTAAGCGTGCCATCTTTCAAGAAATTTCGGTGGAGTCGCAATTCTCATACAGAGCTTGGCCTTGCATTACAAAATAATCGAGCAATATTATGCCTGAAAAAAAGAAGTACATCAATTGAACTTCTCCCGGGTCCGAACCATACTTAACTTGTGTAAAAAGTATGAACAAGGAAAATCTTAAAAACCACATAAAGAGCGAAGAGGCGAACTAAGAGCCGAATATAAAGTCTTACCAACATACTTTCCGGACGTTTCAGACCTATTTAACCTCCAGAACGCATGCGGCAGAACATTGGATAGGAGATGTATAAGGTCTTAGTGGACTGAAACATCTAAAGACAGAAAGCAGGAATAGAAAAACTAAGTGAAGTTGTATCCACTGCAACACTATTATTGAAACCCTACAAACGTAAAAAGATCTAAAGATAACAGGTGATGCATTGATTGTCCCTGACTGACCCATGTAGGATCCAACCGAATCTCGTACAAAATCAAGAACAGCAAGAGATTCTGTTACCACCTTCCTCTCTATCGAAACCGTTATTTAGAAATGAATGAGTCGGTTGCTTTAGTTTGATCGATATTTATTCAGTTTTCTTCTTTCAGTTTAATTCAAGTTACCTGTATACCGCTTGATGCCAACGTTCTTGCGAATTCTCTCAAATTATATCGTCAGGATAATTTCTAGCTGGGTCAGTTCTTTTTGCTTTATATTTTATCGTATGATGTTTAAACGGTTCCGCCCTACATTTCTTTTAGATTTGGCAGTAAGATAATATCACAAGGGGCTAAACGGAGAATACGGGAGTTGAGGCAACACACGCATGTTTTTTTAATTGAACTGTTGTACATGTAGTGAAGTATGTCATGATTGAATGTCCTTGATTTTGTCCTTGATTATTATCAAATATCTTGATTGTACCACTTAGTTACTATAGAGGCAGAACTCGCGTTGAATGATCCCCTGACGATCGAAAAAGAAGGGGGGTTCTAACACCAGGTCGTGCGGCTGTTTTTGGCGGGCGTTAATTTTTAAACCAGAACTTGGCAGATTGAGCCTTAATCTCCGCATTTTACACCCACATCCTGTCATCCATAATTAGGGGTTCAAACGAGCCTGATTTTGTTAAATGTGCCAAATGGTTTGTTAAGACAATTCTTCATGAGTTTTCATCTGCTGGACATTCAGCAGTTTCGACACAACCTTTGCTGCAAGTTTTCTAGCACTTAAATGGTCGTCTAACTCGGCCTGATATGAGCCAGTTGAGATCTGTTTGCTGCTAGCTCTCTTATGCTAATTGGGCGTTTGTGAAGTGCAAACTGCTCCACTTTTTCTATGTTTTCTATCGCTGTTGCAGTTCTTCTAGAAAAAAATTGATTCTGGTCCGCTTTATAAACTTTTGAACCACTTGTTTACTTGAGCGGTCTCCGTACACATTCTGCAACAACCGCAATTTCCATGGCGTTGGCTATATTTTTCACAAAACCTAAATACGCGCTCGTCACTTAATTCGGGAAAAACGAACGAGTATGTAAACTTACCCTGTCTAACCGAGCAACTTGAGACACCATCGTATTATTATAAAATACCTCCTGTGTGCAACAGAAGCCTCCGTCAACGAAAATAAACGAAGATCGCAAGCGTTTATCCAATGGCGCGAAAATCCAAACGTCTTTTTAGTTTTTTTAAAGAACTGATCTACTCCAGTTTTCATTTGGCCATGGATAACGAGGAGTGCTTTATCAATATTATTGACATAGTGAAGTTCAGGATTTGCACTGCTGTAGGGCTGGAAATTGACCTCGCATATATAGGTCAAGCAGAAACTGTTTGTATTTATAACAGAAATTGTTTCTTCAAGTGACGCGTATAATGTAATGACGGATTTCGATAGGAGCAAAGAACGGGAGAAGTATGGGGGTGTCTGGAACATTCCAATTAAGAAATTAGATTGTTGCAAAATGATAGGGTAGCGGAACTCGTGCAGCAGGGTAATGGACCACTGGATTAGGGATATATGATAAGTGCACAGAATAACTATGAGACATAGCTATAGTTTATTTTAGATCGGCTGTGACATCAACGAATGGGATTCATTGAAGCAACGGGCAAAACGGCTGTGACGTGAAACCTGCGAATCTGTCAAATACATACTAACCGTCAGCACCTAAACCTTAATTAATTAATATAAAAAATGCTCCCACTAGATTGTGCAAATATTTTCTGTCTAATAGAAGTCGACTTCGCCAGTTTTTAAATAAGTTGCTTTCACATTTCGCTTTTACTTTATCTGAATGCGCAGAGTTCTACCGTCGCCCAAAAGCTACCATGGCGAGAAAAATTAACAATAAGGGCGGATCGTAAGCAATTTCTATGAGCTAAACCAGGCGGTCGGCATTGCTTCTAAATACTCTTAAAGAGAGATTGTAATAAACTTTGCAATAAGCCTTTCCGATAAGCGAATGAGGGACGTCTAATTTTACAGCCATTAGCTGGCAATTATTTGGATAATTATATGTAGAGGTAGGTTATATTAACAACTATTTACACGCATATTTAGGCATATTTAGACGCCATTGCGGTTGCACTATTCGTCTTTCTTGGGAATCATGTTTGTGAAGAATTTTTTTGCTAAAGTATCGTCAGTTACTGTCATTACACTGCATTATCATCTTGTCAAGGGCTTACTACAGAGCTATGGCACAAATATATGTTTGTGTAGAGAAGAAGAAAGTATATGTCGGGTAAGGAAAACCTGTAATTTTGTTTCTCACTTATAGCTTGGCCTTGTGAGGATTCGGGGCGGGGCAACAGGTCCTCGAGGAGAGGGTAACACATTTTGAAAGGGAGAGACTGTGACATCCCGACAATACAGTAGTACTCAACCTAACCTTGAAGAGTAAGGACGTCGCCAAGCAGGCCACAATGGTCAACGGTATAAGCATTAGTAGACGCTGTACCGTTAGTCTAGGGACATACCGTTGTGTCACATGAATTGAAGCAGTACTTAATTATATATGAATCACCGGTAATTAATAATCTTGGTCATGTTTCGTGGAAGTTCTCTGTGCATCCTGAGAAAACTCTGCAAACTGTGCTATGATGTGCCCTCTAACTGACTGACATTAGTTATGTACTTTACTAGTAATTCTATTCGAAGGACTATACAAGGGCGCAAACGATTACTTTTTGCTCTTGGTAAGTTATAATAACTAGTATCGGCCTTATTAGGGATAAGTTAGCTTTTTGTTGAAGTCTTCTCCATGTAATCATTATTTGCATTCGTCTCCTGACTTCCTAGTTGCTAACCACAACAATGATAGATGTTATCTGAATTTGTCGCGGTGTTTTGTTAGGTTATTTGCTTTATTTTTTTGGAAAAAATATATAGGCAATCTTCAAACTAGCCATTAGCTATTTTTCAATCTAGCACTCAAGTTTCCAGTCTACAGCTATCGTTTCTTACCATAGTCTGCTTCTGCGACCATACAGTTTTTCCACCAATACTCTCATCTCTTTAATCCGCTTTCCAATTAATAGTTGACACCTGGGGCCAGCGAAATATACTTCCATGCGAATGTGTTGTTTTCGACGTTCGATGAAAATCTATGCTCCTAAACTTGGAACTAAAATCTAAATCTGAAGATAACAGAAAATGTCAAAACTAATAAATACAGTGGATAGTTAATTGACTTGAACCTCGATCGAGCGTGAACTTTTGCCATGGCAACTACTGAAGTGTGAGACGATATGTGATTTCTATCGACTGACGTATTGACACGTAGTATTTAACGCATGCGGCACCAACGAGAAGTGCCATTTTCATGTTGAGGCTGTCAATTTTTCAGACTGTTCATGTTTATAGCGACTTTAGCTAAAGGCTGTTAGACATACCTGCTAATATTTTTTCGGCTTCTATCCGTAGGCACTACAGATAAAAAAGAACAAAAAACAAAAAATTCGGGGATAAATAGTTATAGGTTCAAAGTTGATTCGCGTGTATGTTTATCATAAATCGAGTACGCTTCGAGATCGAAGCCCAAAACATAGTATATCTAGAGCAACAAGTAATACCCCTAGCTGTTACCCGATCTGCCTTAGAAACGATCAGCGCGGAAATTCGAAATATAAAGTAATCCTTGTAGTTCTTTGTGATTGTCGGTAGGCAACATTGGTAATACATTGCTTTGCGTGTTTGTGGGTTGTTTGTCTGTGTCTAGACAAGGCGATTATTTCGAATATCTATTGGTTTCGGTTCTAAGTTACTTAGTGGATAGCACGAGGAAGTCTTTTTAAAACAAGTATAAGCAGTGCATTTCTTACAACTACTAGCTGCTTACGCAGTCAGCTGTAAAAAATTATTTCTCCTTAGTGTTGTTTTATGTGACGAATTTATTAAGGGCCAACGACAAGCATACCCATAACACCGTTAAAAAAAAGTTAGTGTCTGTCCTTTGTTTCCTTTGCTTTGCTTTCTTCGTTACGACTATTTCCATAGTAGATAATAACAAATAAAAATCGGATAATGGCACTATATATTTTGATTAGGTTTATGAATGCTGCTTATATTACCGTACCGACACGAGCATATTGGTCGTTGATTAGCTGCATTTCGCCATAAGGATATTGATTTCTTTGATTGACACCGGAAAAGTTCAATTGTGTGAATCACATGTAAATGCTCCAGTATTTGTGTTCGTAACTTGTATTGTTCACAAATAAATATGTATATTAGTTGAGTTACTATAGCCCTTTCTATATATATATATATATATATATATATATAATATAATAATATGACCTACCGAATCTGAACTAACCGCTGCTGTTTACTCCCACACGAGACATATATATATATATATAGAAAGGGCTATAGTAACTCAACTATTAACAGTGACGTTTGTCAACAGTCTCGCGTGGGTCGATCAGTAAACAGCAGCGGTTAGTTCAGATTCGGTAGGTCATATTTTGCTGTACGTTAATGCTGAAAAATTAAATGTTTTTTTTTTCTACATACATTTTACATTACAAGGTAACGTCGGGATTCTAATCACTTCTAAAATTAGTTTGAGAAAACCTCTTTGGGCACTGCTAATCTTCAACCAGCAGAAACGACTAATAGTATTCCTTTGTTACTTCGAGTTGGACTTGTTAGTTAGTAGATTGAGATGATTATAGGCATTAGAAATAAATGTAACATATTCATTTCTTCATGTTTGAAATAATAGGCTCGTTGTTTAGCTGTTATGTATCAAACTGGTTCTTAATATTATTTCAAGCTCCGCTCCCTTATTTCATCAAAATTTCTGATATAGTAGGAACATGTTAGCTAATATAATTAAATCATTGTAATTTATTACGCTTCGTTAATTCTAAGTATTCTTCAATAATTCTAGTATCTAGACTATGACTTTCCCACAACGTACGTTATAATGAGTGAAAAAGGGGCCTGGATGCGTGATCTGTTTGATGATAGCAATGGCGATGATAACTGTTTGATCTTTTTAGAAGAAAAAACAATATATATTAAGCTGTTGGAATACATAAGCAATACTATTTAGGTAAGGTATGATCATCTAAATAGTAGAAACTGGTACATTCAACGTAATGGCACGTAACATTAGAATATATGTAATGGCAAAAGAATGCCATGCTTCTGATCACGGATATGTAGCCCGTATATACACCTTCGAATTTCATTGATTTCTTAATTAAAGAAATACAATTTTCTTTCTGGTTTTAATGTAATGTGCTAGCAGTTACTAATCTTAATAAGTAATAAGGTAAAAAACTGAGTTAGTAAAGAGTCCTGAAAATAGGGTCCTCTGTGAAAACGGTTTACAGAGTGAGAGTTAATCTGAATTTGTTTAAAAAAAATATTGTATCAAAAAAACTTGTATAATTCAACCAGTCAGCGAAAATAATAAAATTGTTAAGTTCTTGGTCAAACGATTTTCTTTCCCGAACGTTTTTGATGGCGTTTGCTCGAATTACAATGATCTAACTCTTTTTAGCCATTACCATTTAGAGCTAACGTGTATGAAGAATCATACCCATAGTACGCATTATTAGGACAAGGTAACTGCAAAAGTGATATGGAACTGCTTGTGTCACGAAACAGTTGGTGCTACGGTAAAATTGTCTAACAAATACTGAAAGATGCACTTCTCTATTCACCATGGAAAAATATGTGAACATGTCTATTTATGGGAAATTCATTATCCGCATTTCGTACCTACGGAAACTTTTCAACTGATCCATTTTCGCCAATGTTACAAGAATGATGGCATCGCTTTGTCCAAATTCTTCAGGTCGATAAAGCCATAGGCAGCTTTTCGTGTTCAAAATGAAATGAAGTGGTTGTTATTAATTATTCTGATTCGATCACGCGCCTTTATATATCAAGGAGGATTACGCCACTTACGACACTGATAATGCGCTCGTGTCTTCTCCATAATCTCGTTTCTTCCTCAAGAGCCTCCTTCTTAGCCACTTGAGAATCCTTAGCCATTAACCGATGATATCGCGTATCGTAGTAAACACGATGCCTTATCCCGCTCCTACCTGCCGGGTCAACCCTGTAAAGAAGTTCCTATATAAGCACAGAAGTCAATGCCGAGTAATACTGAACCGGTTCGACTTTCAACTACCTAGAATGTCCCGCCATACCCGTTGGACATGCACTCTAAACAGTTACAGAATTACACAGAAGACGTCACGTTGCTTCGTGCTGAAATGGCCAAATTTCGTTACATCATTTACTGTTACGAAGCTGTCCCTTCGACTGGAACATCACACCACCAGTGATACTGTGCTATATATCTGTGATACTGGATGACTTCTATAGCTGGATCAAGTATGGTAAAATATTTAAAACAGCCGACCGTTATCCATACAAAATTCCAATTAAAGGAAGTCACTCAAGACTTTCTCGTCGAATGGATATTTATCATCATAAGCAATCCCCACGCTGAAGAATGGTACCATTTTAAGGGATTCAACTGGAATGCCCTTAAAAGAATGCCTTTAAAAGAAGGATCGATATCCTAATTCGTCTTGCCGACCTTAAAGAAAGCCCCACATCATCGAAACCTTTCCTATGCTACCGATACTGCTGATGAAATAAAAAGAATTTTCGGCCTCGACTTCTATGTTATCTAAATTTTATTTCTTTAGCCTCTCCAATTTTTAGATATTCATTTTTAATAATATCCGATTGGAAGCCTGATCCAATATCATATGGCGTACATAATAAACATATACGTAACTAATTAGAAAACTTATCGTGTTGATAATTAAGATCAAGCCAAGGAGACCAAGAACGATCATTACCATAAGTTCCTTCTCCCGTACTAGATGCGTGTGCAGTATGAAGCCTTGTAACAAAGGTTTTAGAATGAGACATCGAAATAGACTTCCAGTTAAATTGCGTAATGCCCGAATCATCTCTCCGGTTGCTTATTTCATATGGTTTCGATGAATCAGATCCAAAAGCTAACTTAAAATAATGCTGATATTGTTCGTTATTTTTTATATGAAATTTAGTAACTTTAAAGCAGCGTTTCTATTACAATCATCCAACAGTTGGTTCATGCCATGCTGGCAGAAATGTATACCTTATACAGACTAATCTTATTTGATTATACAAAGCTCATTACTCAAATTACGCACAGGGCATCTCAACTTATACCGCATTATACAAACATAAGAATCGCTACCCATTAAATTCATCACTATTTTTCATTTAGAAAAGTTGTTACTGTTACAGATTTCATGGATGAATGGCGACGAGCTTTCTTCATTCGCCGAAAAAATTTTCGACGCCATGCCTGCCCGAAATATATCAGCCTTCTGCCCGTTTTACGGCGGCGAAATTCTTTGTCGACGAAACACCATGTGTAGGTAGCCTTATACGGTGCGGCAAAAGCTGCGAGAAGAGTAAACGACACTCATTTCACATCCTTTATTAACGCAGTCTCTTAGGAAATAAGGATGAAACGTTTTTCGGTCTGAAGGTTCACTTTTCTTTTTCTATTCATACCAAATATAAAGACAGGCATCGCTACCTTCAATCCAATAGCTAGAAAACGTCTTTTGTCCTTAAAAGAAAAACACCGCCGACAAGAGACACCTATTAGATGTATTATAATGAAATACGTAAGCAACGTTTCCGTGTAAATCAAGTAAAATGAATGTAT